TGAATATTAGTGCACTTCATATTGTCCCAGAGTTCTCTTAAACTATCCTTGTTTCTTTTCATTCTTTTTCCTTTATTCTGTTCTGCAGTAGTGATTTCCACTAATCTGTCTTCTAGCTCATTGATCTGTTCTTCTGCCTCATTTAGTCTATTCTTGGTTCCTTCTAGTGTGTTATTCATTTCAGTGATTTTATTCAACTGTTTGGGTATTCTTTATATTTTCAAACTCTTTGCTAAAAACTTCACTCTGTGCATCTATACTCCTCTTGAGTTCTCTGAACATATTGGCCATCATTACTTTAAACTCCTTCTCAGATAAACTGCCTGTCTCCTCATCACTTATTTCTTCTTTTGGGATTTTATCTTGTGGCTTGGCCTGGGAGATATTCCTCTGCCACCTCATATTGTCTATCTTTCTATTTGTGTTTTCAAGTAGGTTAGTTATGTGTCTCGACCTTGGAGAGGTGGCTCTTTGTTGGAGACGTCCTGTGTGTCCCAGCAGTACACTCCTCTCTTGTCCCCCGAGGGCCAGGTTCCAGCCAATCCCAGTATAGAGTCTGGCCTGCGTTTGTGGATTCCTTCCACAGGTTTTGGGTTCTTATTTCTGTTATCTGCCCCTGGTGGATGTGGCTAGACTAGAGGCTTATGCAGGCGGAGCTGGTGCCTGCCCACTGCTGGCTGAAGCTTGGTCCTGGTCTTCTGGTGGGTAGGGTTGTGTCTAGGGGTGTGTCTAGTGGCTCAGGAAGTCTGCTGATGGATGGGGCTAGATCTTGGTGCTGATGATGCAGTCTAGACTCCAGGAAAGCTCATGTAGATGAACACTCCCGGAATGTCTGCCACCAGCTTTTATGTCCCCTGGGTGAGCTGCAGGCTTCCCCTACATTCCCAGGAAACCTTCCAAAACCAGCAGGCAGGCCTGACCCAGGTTCATATGAAATCACTGCCTCTGCCCTTGGACCTAGCACACTTGAGATTCTATGTATGCGTCCCAAGAGAATGGAGTCTCTGTTTCCCCCAGTCCTGTGGGGCTCCTGGAGCCAAGCCCCGCTGGCCTTCAAATCCTGATGTCCTGGGGTCTCCTTCTCTTCCCACTGCCAGAACCCTGGGCTGGGGAGCCTGGCGTGGGGGTCAGAACTCTCATTCCTGTGGGAGGGCCTCTGCAACTTAATGTTTTTCAGCTGGTGGATCTCCCACCCCGGGGGTATGGGGCCCGATTATATCGAGAGCACACCCCTCCTACCGTCCTGCTGTGGTGCCCTCTTTATGTTGCCAGCTGCAGAAGATCTTCTTTGCTAAGTTCCAGGCTTTTTTTCCGATGGTTGTTTAGCAGCCAGTTGTGCTTTCATTGTAGTCACGAGGAGAGGGGAGCTCTTGGTCCTAGCATTCCACCAGCTTCCACGTGCTCATTTTAGATTCGGTGTCGCCAGTCCCTTCCCTTTTTTCCTTTAAAGTGGTATTTGCCAAACAGTATCATAGGTTCAAAGGATTCACTTCTTTTTTATTTTTAAATTGCCAAGCATTTATTTTTCAAATATATTCTAAAGTTCAGTGTTAAGTGGAAATATTTGTTAAGTTTCTGAAGCAGAATTTCAGGAAAACATTTGATATTATGATGATAAATGTTTGCTCTTCTTAGATGTTAATCTTGCCAAGTTTATAGTGGCTTTTCAGTGAGTATATGTTAAGTGTCTGTTTTAGCTCTTTGATCAGGAATAAGCATTATTTTGAGTTTTTGAGGCTGAAAAGAATTACGTTCAGGCATGCCTCGGAGATACTGCAGTTCGGGTCCAGGCCACCGCAGTAAAGCGAGTCACACGCATTGTTTGGTTCTCCAGTGCACATAGAAGTTACCTTTGCACTGTACTGTAGTCTCTTAGTGTTATGTCTAAAAACACCACATATGTACCTTAATTTAAAAATACTTCATGGCTGAAAAGTGCTGACCATTAGTATCTGTGGAGCATGGTGAGACCAGGCGTGCCATATACGCCATGATGTGTTCAGTTGACTAATGTGAGAAAGCTGTACCTGAATTATTCGTATACACATAACCTTTGACCTGTGATTTGATAATACTCGGCTGTTATATTCTATACGTACTTGTGTTTGTGTGGAATTCTTGATTTATCTAAAACAAACTATCTTATTCATGTGGGCTTAACTTTCTGATAACTCTGTTAAATGCACAGCAAAGTCCTTGTGGAAATAACATAGTTTTTGTAATCTGTGGCGTGTGGTCCTGTTTGTAAGTGTCCTGAAATATGCTCTGTCTATTTAGTAGTAGCCAGCTATGCTATGTGTAGGGGACACTACTTCAAAACTGTGTTCACATGTTATCTATTAAAAGGTAAAACGTGTTCATCGCAAGCGTCTATAAAAATATACCTAGTAGAGTCTAAAATTCATTCTGGTCCTTTCATTGTGTCATTTGTCCTGATGTATTTGACAGTCAGAGACAAGCCTTAATCATGCTTGAACCTTAGTATTGCTTCTGCCTAACTGAAGAACATTTCTCTAGTTAGCAGAGTTTGAAAATAGAATGGTTTTGTTAAAATTGAAATGTTAGAATTTTAAGAAATTGTTAGTCTCTTTTTTTATTTCTCTGTTGGCTTCAGAGTCAGACCTTGAAACCAAGATCCATCTTCTAAAAGTCAAATTTCTTTAGTATTTAGGACAAGATTGCTGTTTTATTTCATGTTCTGTATACACTGCTGCCTAACATAGTCCCCTGAAACAATGAACACGTCTCCCCTTGCTGTGGTTTGGGTGGGCACATGGTCCGTGCAGCTCAGCGGGGGCTGTGGGCCCAGGGGCTCAGCCCAGGCGGGTGTCAGGTCCACAGCTGCTGGCGGGAGATGTGCTCCCACGGGACCATCCATGGCCAGCTCGTGTCCAGCAGCAGCTTCCTTCAGGGCCTCGCAAGCAAGAGGGTGCAGAGATGGAGCTGGTCCCTGGGACCGAGGCCACTTCTGTGGGTTTATTCCCTGCTGGGTACACCCAGACTCTAGGGAGATGATTGATCACACGGGGGCATGTGTGCCAGAGGTGGGCTCTCAGTGGCTCCTGCCACGTCTCCTCTGAGTACCCTGAACTTCTGAAGGGACCCACTTCCCCTGCCTTGTGTCCTAGGGTGATGGCGCTCCCCCTGCTTAGCTCGCTGTTGTCCCGCGATCGTGAACCAGTCATTTCACGTAGATGAGACTCCAGGAAGGTGCAGACCAGGGCAGAGGGGAGCGCATGTTCATTTGCAGTTTCGCTCGAATGGCCTTTCCTCATTGTTTAGATAAGGAGCTTTGTCAAGCTCTCAGGTACTGCCAGAGGGAGCAGTTGGGAATCTCTTACCCTGTGTTGATTATGTAAATTCTGTTTGCCTTTTTCAGAATCGGCAAAGGTTTTCAAGGTGTCATGAAGAGATGGGGATTTAAAGGCCAGCCCGCTACTCATGGTCAGACGAAAACCCACCGGAGACCTGGAGCTGTTTCAACTGGAGTAAGTATAACCTTGTGATCCTCCTTTACAGCCAAAGTTTCAGCCTCTGTGCGCAGAGGGCTTCAGTCTGTCCAGGGGACCGGGCTGTAATTTGAACGTGACCCCAGGTGAGTCCTGGCCTCACTTTGTCACATGGTGACGGCCTGGCTGGCCACAGCCAGGACCCTGGGGACTCTCCTGCCTGCTTCCTCATTCCTGTCTCTGTCTCCCCTCCCACACTCTCGAGCCAGCTGCAGGAAACAGGGTCAGAGTGCCCTCCCTGGTCCCTCACAGTTGGATTTTGTCTGTACAGAGTACTGAGAGACCATAGGGAAGGGTTGCTAAGGACAGTATAATGATGCGAGGGAAAAGTAGTGGAGAAAAAGTGGAGACAGACGGTGAAAGTGCAGGAAATAGAGGGGGAGTTGTGTGTTGCTGACCTAGTCCCCTGGACCTCTGGGACTGGTCTGACGCTGGTCCCAGAGGTACGGCGAAAAGGGCCTGCAGGAGCCTTATCCTTGAGACCATGAGAGATGCAAATTCAGTCTCTAAAGCTTGCTAATATATTCTCCCTCTCGTAAGAGAGATACAGATGAAAGCCACTCTTGAGCGAGTTTCTCACCCAGCGGATTGGGCTGGCAAGCTGCTCACTTTTTGCCACTCCATTGGCAGGAGTGTGGGGAAGCAGGCACCCTCGCCTGTCGCTGGCGGGAATGTAAAATAGTGTGTCCTCTGTGGAGGGAAACGTGGCAGGCACTGTCTAGCAAGGCTGCACATTTGCCTTTGACGCAGGAGTCCCACTTCTGGGACTTTACCCGGTATGTGTTCTCCCAAAGGTATAAAGTACGTCTGCACAGAATTAGTCTTTGTAACATTTGTCAGGAGACTAGGGAGACACGACAGCTAAGACCCCAGACTTGGAGAAACGCTCGAAAGGACATTACAGTTGTCAGAGTTCTAGTGTGGCTGGTAGATTAGCTAATGTGTTACATTTCCTGAGTTTCATAACTGCTGTGCGTATGTAAGAGAGTGTCCTTGTTCTTAGGAGACACACACTGAACTACTTGCAGGTAAAGGAGCATCGTGTCTGCTGCCACGTTGCAGGGGGGGTGGGGCGGGGGCTGGACCTGCGCAGAGACCCTGGACGGCGCGTCAGCTGGAGGGGTGACCTCCAGCATGTATGGAATTTGTTTTGGGTGGATGGAAATGTTTCAAAACTGATTATGATAATACACAACTCTGAATGTACTAAAAACATTAAACTGTATACTTTAAATGGCTGAAGTGTGGTATGTGAATTTTATCTTATTACAGCTCTTTAAAAAAATTAGGCCTATAGGAGAACCGAATCTTATGACTCGAGTTAGTTATTCTTCATGAAATACACTGTTCTGTTTGTAAATGCTTCTTCCATTAGCTATTAAACAGCCTGAGTCAGGGTGTAGTTTTAACAAGTGTAAGTTTACTTGGGGAGGGCAGAGTCCTTTTTACTAAGGTCATGCTAAGCACGGTGTTTGTAGAATAAGTAAGTGACAGCCTGTAATACTCAGAATTGGCTTTAAACTGTTGCTGCATAGTAACCAACTCTGCTGATAGGCTGAGCTGCTTCCGCTGGGAGTTTCACCTGTTGTGAGAACAGTGATGCAGTTGTTTTTATTTCAAGAACTTGTGTCATGAGCAGCTTTCCACTGTGGATGTAATTCAGATTTGCTTTTTTAGATGTGGAATATGATCCACTATCAAAGCTAAAATCAGATGATGTGCGGCTGTTTGATTTACATGAGTTAGAGATGGCCAGGGCCGGCCAAGCAAGCCCGGAGCTCTGATAACTAACTGTCCTTTAATCATTCTGTGGGACGACAGAAACATCAAAAGCAGGGCTGGGAGGGTAGGACCGTTACGGCAGCAGAGCTGTGGGTGTTCATGCAGGTTACTGAAAACAGGCCAGGCGGGCAGTCTTTTTCTTACAGTGACGTTGTGACTTGTTTCTATGTCCTTTGTTGTTTTTGTTTTTACTTCTTAAACCATGATTGGCTCAGTTACTCTCATGTTACTGAGTTTTTCTCTTAAATGTGTTCTTAGTCTATATTTTTGTTGTTTTAATCTAGTTTAGAAATTCTCTAGGAGTCAGTTTGATTGAATCCACATTTAGTTCTTTACCGGGGCCTAGCAAAACATGGGGGAGAACATTTTAATGGCTTATATCTTACTTGCATGTTGGTTTCATGGGTACTCTGAAATTGAAGGTACTAGTAAAAGTGCAAATGTGGTTCCTCCTTTAGGATGTTGCCAGAGTCTGGCCTGGAGCTAAAATGCCGGGACCCCTGGGGAACATCGACAGGACAGCATTTGGACTGAGAGTAAGTGTCTGCAGTGGCCCTTTTAGGGATGGTGACAGCAGTGCCCCAGGGCAGAGGCACCGGACTCCGTATTTTCTTTATGGGGTGGTCTTGGCCATGTGTGTTCATTTAACATCCAAGCCATTGAATATGCACGCATTAAAAAGGAAAATTAGTTGTCTGCTGTTTGATCTGGAAGGTTTCCATAGGGTGGTGTTGCACGAAAGAAAATTCTGAGCATTGCGTTCAGTAAGCGCTCTGACAGAGTGAACAGGAGCCCCACGTGTATGTGCCGCTGAGCCCCATATAAGCACAGAGACTGGACGGTTACACACCAGAGTATTCTGAGTAAATGTCAAATATGTGGGTGCATGTAAGAGACAGTTAAAACAGGGAAAGGTAGTACTAAAAAAAAGCATTATGGCATATACATCCATTTTTATAGAATGATTGTGTTTAACTTGAGGAATATATGTGATATCTAAGTGAAAATGAGTTGAACCATAATGGGTGTCATATATTTTTATGAAAACAACTCACGTGTACATGTGTATGAAAAGCATACAAAGTGCAAAGAAGGAAATAAACCACTGGGAAGAGCGCCCCCTAGAGAGAACCACTGGTAAGTGACATTTTGGTGCGTATTCTTCCAGCGTCTGTTCTAGGTGTGCTTTAGTTATAAATTTTGACCACCAAAAAAGAAGGTTTTGTAAATTTTATATAGTGTAAGATTTTTTTCCCCTCTCCTATTGCTCTTATACTTGCCAGGGGCACCTATTTTTGTCCGTGTGTGCACGTGTGTACAGAAGAGACTTCAGTATCCGGAGGATTTAACATTTAGCCATAATTACATACGAGCTATGGGTCAGGCTCGATTCCCACCCCCCACCTAAATGTTTTCTCCATGTGACGATCTGTTTGAAAGCCATCTGCTCAGCACACTGGTTAAAAATTAGACCCAGAGACGTAGTGGCTTCCTAGTTCCTAGTTGCAGCAAGCTAGTATTGACTAAATAACTAAAAATAAGTTTCCGCTTGTTAATCTCTCTGGCACCAGAATGTTGAGACATGAGTTTTCTGCCCCGTCCATGAGACGTCCCTGCTGTCCTTACAGCACACGTCCGTGGGACCTGAGTTTTTTCAGTTCTCATTGAGCATTTTAAGTTGCTACCATGATTAGGACTTTACAGGCTACTAAGAGCCTAGGATTATGTTTGTTTTAATGTAAGTATACTTTCAAACTTTTAACTCTTACTTAAAGTTTGATTTCATTTCTACTTTAGGTGTGGAGAATAAACACAAAGCACAATATAATCTACGTAAACGGCTCTGTACCAGGACACAAAAACTGCTTAGTCAAGGTTCGTAGAGCTGCCTTTATTTTCCTTGTTCAGATACGTGGGTGTGCGCCACTCTGTCACCAGAAGTGTGACTGGAAAATAAGTGGCTGTTTTTCCCCATGTTTCCTGCTAACTTTTCCACTTTTGAGTAGCAACTGAGTGAAAAAAAACTGCACAAAATAATCTTTAGTCTATGTCTCTAAAACCACGAACCTGCAAGAGGGGAGGACCAGTAAGCACAGAGCTCTTCATAAATACAGAAAGGATATTAGGAGAAGGAGTACAAGACACATAGGACACCTTCCAGAATATCAGTGTATCTGTCCTTCGAAAAAATAACTTTTTCATTTTTTAAGAGTACTTTGACACAGGAATTGGAAATATATGGGTGGAAGTTAAATGAAAATCAACAAGAAGGGTGGCTTAAGACTTTCTTTTATTGCACTTAACTGTATTGTGTTTGCAGAATATTGAGTTGTTTCTGGTTGTTGAAGTACAGATGATTTACAATGTTGTTAGTTTCA